TATTTCTTGCGTATATTTGGTATTTATGTGAATGAATATGTATATCGCGTGTTGTGAATGTTATTTGTGAAGTTACAAATGTTAAAATAATACTTTTAGCGTATTCGTATATGCAGTGGGGTATTGAAGGAAGTTTCTGTGTTGTTGTTTAGTTAGGATAGGATAAAATTAGATTGGGTTGAAGCAATTTAGGTGTGTGACGCATAATTTGATCAGCGAAAAAAGCAGTGAAATGTTTTTTTGGATAGGAAATTTGGATTATTGGGTAAAGAATTGAGAGAATTTTTATTTAGTTGCGAGTTTCGGATTAGAAAATAGAGTGAATTGAACAGAAAGAGATTAGAAAATGGCTGGTTGGATGGGTGGGTGCTGCTGTCTTTCTTAGGAGTGTTTTATCTGGCTTAGGGTATTAAGGCGTCGTTTAAAAGTATCGTTTGTGAGTGATAGGAAAACTTTATAGCTTGTGGTCTATGGCTTATGAATGACGGTATTAAACATTGTTAAATGATATAGATTGATAAGGGATACACCTTTTGCAGGTGTTATCATCTCAGTGTACATTGTGCTAGTGTTATTATTGTTATTATTTATTATTTTTAGTATTATTGTTGTTATTTTTACTATTATTATTAAAGGGAATTGGCTTATTTTGGGCACTTTTTGAGCAGAGAACAGAATGTACAGAGAGTATGATTTGCAGAATGTTTATCAATTTTATGTGTGTGTCACTTATGACGTCGGGAATTCGTTATCAATAGTGATTTGTTATCAGTTGCGATTTGCTTCATTATCTCGTATGATTGATTATGATTCGATTGATTTTCCGTGCGGGAGAATTGATTCCATTTAGCGTTCGGTTGCGTTTTGAGTATATTTTTTAAAGGTTTTGCAACAGAATTTTGATTGTTTCGTAGATTTATTTCGGGACTCCGTTGTGGTCAGTAATAATAATAACAATAATAATAATAGTAGTAGTAGCAGTTCTTCCATTCGCATCAGAAATGCCTCCGATTTCTGCATCGGATTGTGATCGAGACTCTAGACAAGTTTCTGGAGTGGTAAGCCTCCCCAGCAACACTATGGTTGTCAATGCCATGGCCTCTAGTGCTACCCCACTGGCCTCAGCTGGTGGTCCCCCGACCTCAAGCTCGAGTTCGACGAGCTCAAGATCAAGTGCTGCTAGCGCAGTGAGTTATTGTGGTGCTGGTGATGGGGAAGGGGGTGGTGGCGCTTGGCCAAACGCCGCCGCTGCCACAGCGGTGGCACGACAAGCCAATTTGGGACCGTTGCTGTTCGATTGTGCCATTTGTGCAGTGTTGGGTGAGTTTTGGGTGACAGATTTGTAGCGTGCAGTTTTGTAGTTTGTAGTTTATAGGGTGTAGTTTGTTCGGTTGTGAAGTTTTGGCATCAAAAATGCGATGGAATATCCAAAAAAAAAAATGCCTCCGAGGTGTTCCAAATGTCAAAACTGATTGATGTATGTGGCTGCAAAATCGTTCATTACAAACTTCGCACAAAGTTTTGGGTCCCGTAGCGATTTGCCTTGGGGTACGGTATCAGTCCGCTTCATTGTGTGCGCGGGCGGTCCTACGTGATTTTTCGGACTGTAAGGGGTTTTCTCGAAAATTTCGAGGGGTTATATCGAATTTTTTTCAATTTTTTAATTT